ACCTACTTTCCACACAGCTCAGGAGGCAAAAAAAAAATACCGCAATACTCTCACACCCCTTTTTGTCTTGCGTTATCCCACAAGTGAGCGCTCATTTTACTCTTCCTCTGATTTGCCCCTCCAACTCTTTCTTTCCTCTTTTATCCACCCTCACTCTTTTCAATCACGTCTGTGCCCACAGGACATTTTCTTTCTCTCTCTCTCTCTTTCATTTCGCTCTCTATGTATGCCCCCCCCACCCCCACCTCTCTTAATACTCGGCCCTTTTCTCTTTCCGGCTGCCTCTGCATCTGCTGACGCTGCATCTCTTCCTAGCCCCTCTCTTTCTTTTTAGATATTAGCCGGAGATGGGCATGATGGAGATAAGAGATGATGGATGGGCTCAGCTAGCCCGGCTAGTGAAAAGGTGGAGTGATGGGAAGGAAAAAAGAAACAGGATTGAGGTCGTTTGGGGTATTTTGAGGCAGAAGAGGTTGAACGCGAGAAAGGAAAATATCGAAGACGCAAAATCTTCTGCTTGTTTGCGTCATCACCAACGTTTGTCGCTTCTCGGCGAGATGTTCGTACGACGCTAACCAATGTCCCCGCGGATGCTTCCGCAAACACACGCTGAAGTGAAACGCTGCGGGGAAGTCAAACATAAAGACAAAGAAGCTTAAAGAAAGAGCATCTCGTCTCCCTTTCCCCTCACTTCTTGCTTTGGAGTCGCGGCTATATATAACCGTGAGAAAGGAGCAGGAAGCGATTCATTATTGAAGGTTTATGGCAAAGTGAGTCATTTATTCATGTGTGGGATTTTGTGTGCGTGCACACTCGTAGCAGGATAAAGATGGAGATCATTATACTAAAGGGTTTCAAACCATCTTAGCTTCTGTTTTCCCCCTTTAGTCAGCTGCAACCCACTTAAACACGCACACACACACACACACACACACACACACACACACACACACACACACACACACACACACACAGGCACAATACGACACTTGCGCACGTTTGCTATAGGCCAGTCCGGCTAATTGGGTGGAGCCCAGAGTGTCCCAGAGACGTTGTGCCAACACATTAGAAGCTCGGACCAGATTATTCACACCTGGAGCGGCTTCTCGGTTTTTCCCTCGAATCAGATCTGGAGGAAAAAAAACTCCCATGTCCAGGATATAATGTATGCAAAAGCAAGTACGGACGTGTATTGTGTTTCCACTGTGCACATATGATATATGCTTCCGTAAATAGTTTCGCCCCCCCCCTACCATGGAAGGTGAGCACAGAGGACGTCAGTGTCCGGTAAGTGTCGGACAGAAGCAGACTCTCAAAACGCAGACTAGAATAATAAAATGTACACAACAAATCTTTCTGATAGAAAAAGTGGCGCGAAGCCGACAAAGTACAAATAAAGACGCTTGGTCCACACACCAGGAAAAAAAAAAAAAAACGGAGGAAACAAATGAGTCGAAATGAAAACAGCTGGTCACAAAAGGACAAGAAAACCAAATTCACGATCAATAAAAACAGAGGAGAACTTGCCAAAAGCAACAATACAACAGCTATTAAACAAAGAGCAAAAAAAAAAAAACAAGGAACAGAAATAAACAGAACAAGAACATCTACAAAAATTGCACAGGAACAATGACTTGAGCAAGGAGAATCATCCAACAGTCAGTTGGTGACAGGAGAGTCCTTAAATAGTGGCTTGATTGCGACGCATGACAGGTGCGCAGCGCAAGGGAAACGCCCACCGCTCAACTGAACCTCAAAACAAAAACAGACAGATTATGACCTACCAAAGGAGAAATGAACAGAAGAGAGAATGCATTTGCTTGATTATGCCCAGCTTGAACAGTTTTGTAAGATATCAGGCTCTATTTTCATCGACAGGTGCACTTGGCATAAAAACGGCTGCATCTTCGTTTTTGTTCCGGGGCGCGTCTCGTTTCGCACGTTTGGGAATATGACAGAGTGCGCTCCGCCATGTTCGCCAGACCGAGGATGTTTTTGATTACGCACCCCGACGCACTTGACAATTAGTTGGCCGAATGTGGACTAGACCTTAGACCAGGGCTGTCCACACTATGGCCCAGGGGCCATTTGTGGCCCGCCATCCATTTTTCAGCGGCCCGCGACATGACCAAAAAAAAAAAAAAAAAAAAAAGTGGCCTTTTCACATTTCCATTTTTCTGTATGCAACAAACAAAAAGTTTGAACACCCCTGCCTTATACCGACTGAAAGGAGGTCTAAGTTTGTGGTGGATTTGATCTAAGTACAAGCAGATTCTGCGCTTTGCTGATATGTGTGGTGGATTCATCGTATTTCATTCAAAAATAACACAACAGCTTGGATTTAATCCACTGCATCATTGTATTTTCATTCACGGTGGACATGACCACAGCCCTGGTTAACGGTGTTACTAATTGTTGAGAGGTGTTAGTTAAAAATATTGGTGGTTGTCATTACAGTGGCAGTGGTGTGGAACTGCCCTGCACTGTACTGAGAAGTCTTTCTATTTTCGTCAACTTAGCTTCATCATCCTCCCTTCCATCCATTTTTCTAATGGACATCCTGTTCAGGGTCACGTGCGCGCTTGTTTCCCCGTCCCGTGTGACTTTGGGCGAGAGGCGAGAAACCCCTTGACTAGGCACCAGTCGGTTGCGGTTTTAGTGACATCACATTGAAAAAAAAACAAAAAACCTTTTGGCATGATGCGGTGCAGTTCTTCACCACCGCTCGGGCTCCGGATCTCATAAAGTCATCCGTTATTTACAACACAGTCGGTTTAGTACCTGTTGTTGTGGGCCTCTGAACGTGTAGCGTGATTATCGCGTCAGGCCAAGCATTCTTCTCACCCACAGCGAAAGCAGCCGTGTCAACGGGGTGAGCGAGTGTGTGCTCGGAAGCGATGGTGACAAACACAATTAGATGTCTTTCTTTTTATTTCACCATCTCTCTCTGTCTCGCTCCCTGACTGGCCTTAAGACGTTATGTACGCAGAGCCAAATGGTGATGTCACGATAAATCTCGCTCAGCGCATGGGCACGCTTGCTGCGCCGGTGTGGCAGTATGCGTTCGTGCAAATATTAGTCAATGCAATCCGTGCATGAGCAATCGCAGTGCCGCAAATAAATTCAGTTGTTCATCAATTTTGGCTAAAATCTTCCTTGGGACAAAAATATTCACATGTTGGATACAAAATGAATCATAAATTCGATATCAAGTCTACTCGTGGCGATTCAAAACCTCCTGCCAGGTTGCGTACAAATGAACCGCTCTCATGTTAGCAGTTTTGTTTCTTGGCGTATGTTTGGCTGTGAACATTTTTCCTGAACTCACTCCCCTCACTCCATTTGAGTGGATGATTCTCGCCACCATCATCGCCAACTGCATCGTCCTGGCCCTGGAGCAACATTTGCCCGACGGTGACAAGACGCCACTGTCTGAGCGCCTGGTAAGGCAGACGCAAATCACAACCTTTTTCAATTGAACAGTCCTAACGTGTTTCCTTCAACCCGGCCGGCCGTGTTCTCTCTGTCCTCAGGACGCTACCGAGATGTATTTTATTGGGATCTTCTGTTTTGAATCCGGGATCAAGATCCTGGCTCTGGGCTTCGCCTTCCACAAGAACTCCTACTTGAGGAATGGATGGAATGTCATGGACTTTGTGGTGGTGCTCACGGGGTAAGTGACAGGCAAATTCATATTGCGGACGACCTAAATACATCAAACACGCATTATGTGCCCGACGCGATCAAATTATGAGGTCAGGATCAGCTGTCATGTCTTTTACAATGTGTGTGTGTGTGTGTGTGTGTGTGTGTGTGTGTGTGTGTGTGTGTGTGTGTGTGTGTGTGTGTGTGTGCCCTTTCCTCTAATGAATGGCCCCATCCTGAGCAAGGCAGCAGTCAGATCACAGAGCAGGTCCGCAGGCAGCCGGCGGCCTGGGTAGTGAACAAATGCCACAACAATTCAGTGGGTGTGGGGGCGGAGGGGAAGGGGGGCGGGGGCTCAGAGTGAGCAGACGAGAGAAGCAGGTGAAGGAGGGTTGCGGGAAGCCAAACAAGCAGGATTCAAAACACACGCAAGCCTGAAAAAGACACATGGTTTTGGATTTGCATACCCCCTTCTATCCATCCATCCATTCATGCATTTTCCACCCCGAATTGGTTGCTAGCCAATCGCAGGGCACACAACCACGCACGCTTACACTCACACCTTGGGACAATTTAGAGT